CGGACAGCCATGGAGCGCGCCCAGGCCGCGAGGCAGAAGGCCCAGGACGAAATGCCGGGTGAGCCCAGCTTACAAGCGCAAGTTCATGCACTCGAGCGAGCAAGAGACGAGCTCGTTGATTGGGTGCAAGGGGAGCTGGCCAAGATGGAAGAGGATAGTGTTTTCCTTGAGGATGCCTCTCCCGTCAAACGTCCAGTCAGCGTCGCGGCACCCGTCGATCTAGCGTCAGCAGAGACACAGATACGAGAATCCTACAACAAGTACATCGAAGCTCGTGCTAGTCTGCTCGAAGCTCATGCAAGCCTCCAGCAACCGTTGGATCTCCAGACTGACGATCAGAATGGCGGTCAAACTACACCCAACGAAGACAGCAAAGCCGCAGCAACGAAGCCTATTCGGCCAATCACCAAACTCTTGCCTTACCTCCCGCATCTTACCCAGATAGCCAACAACGAGCGTTCTCTACTCCAGCAATCTGTATACCTCCAGAGTCAGATAGCATCCGCAGACCAAGACATTGAAGAAGCGCTTCTTCGGCTCTCTGGTGAAAGCCATCTTCTACCCGCTGGTTCGAAGGAAGTCGCAGCATGGGGCAAGACAGCACGGGAAGCTGAGGCGGCTACTGAAAAACTGGTGAAAGAGCGTTTGCAAGCTGCCCGGCAAGAAGTGGGCAGTGTGAGCACGATTGTAGAGCTCTGCTCGTTGCAGAGTAAGGTGTTGGAGTCGGCGTAGAGCAAGAAGGAGGGAACATCATCTTTGTCGGTCGCAAAGTATTTTGGTATGATTCTTAAACATTCCCATAGCTTCCGCCCACAGAACATGGAGTAGCTACTTAGTACCGCCGCACAATACATGAACTTCAAGTAGATTCCTCTTAGTTCTCGTCAGAAGCGCACCATCATCGTACGTTGGAACGATCATGTCAAGCAGCCAGCCTCAGTCGACTCAACAAAGTCGTGCCAGAGTAAGACAATTCACATTGAATCAGAGTCATGGAAAGCACCAGGTAGTCATATTCCACGCATGATCTACCCAAATGACTTATCTTGGGACCCAGAAAGCATGAAACCTCTTCTTCGGAACTTTCGAAGTTTTACCTCGCGGGGGAGAGTGGTGGAGAGTGCAGAAGCATAAAGCGCAGATGACAGGCTTTATATAGCCGTCGGTATCAGTTTTGAACAGCAACATGTGTTTACGATCTGTGTCAGATGCACACGAAGCATCCCATTGTCGTCAGGAACTTTGAAGTCTTGTACGACGGCTACATGTCTACTATGCACCACTTTTTCGTTTCTCAGAACTACTGGCATTTTAATCGTAAGATGTATCATTGAGAAATTTGCGTATAAATTCACTATTCTCTTTTCCTTAGACATGGCATTGCATCCTTTTGGTTTTGTTCCAGAGTCCAGGAGGAGAGGCCATGCAATAGTTGCAGCGTACTTTTGATTTAGCAAAGTCGGGCTTCGAGACATCGAAAAGTGAAAGAGAACAGAACCCAAAGGTTTTTGTGCTCCTTGTATTGTCGAAACGGGACATGTGATTGTAGAATGTGCATTTTGAATGACAATAGCCCTTGGATGGATTCCGTTCTCAGCTCGCGCCAGGACATAATTCGACGCCCTCGATTTTTTTGGTAAGAAGACATGAAAGAGCATCTCAATATTTTGAGTTGGAGACCGAGCAGCTTGGGTTGATAAGAGGAAGACTGTGAGGGGCAGGAACGGGCTTTTATATATGTAAGCGATCAGTGCGCTATTCTAGCTTCGCGATACAAGCCATAGCCAAGTATGTTGCGGGCCAGCTATCCAGCATCAATACATATCAGCGAACACCATAGTGTTGGCGCATAGTTAGTGACTGCCTGAGCACTCTTAACCATCAAAGGACATTCTCGTGTTTTTGAAGATGAGCACATGTGTTCATGTATTCGACAACGGGACATCTAGTCTCCTTGGTCTTCTCCATGACGTACGTGCGCAAGTACGTGTCTCAGAACCGTATTTTCCGACAAGAACATTAAGACTTTATATGTGAATGCTGCAGCGTACACTCAAACATACGTTCAACATGTCTCGAATTCCTGCTCACACATAAGGCTGTCGCCGATTGTTTTGGTTCAAACAACGCAGAAAACATCACCAGTCTCTGGATAGTTTTTGGAACATCGGACCATCGTGTATTGGTTTTAGTGGTCAAAGGTGAGTACATGCGAGGAGAAGAGCTGTACCAGGTCGATGTTTTATACACGATCCAGCACTACCTAGGTACTCACACTATTTAATATAGCGGGGGGTTTTTTTTTTCGTGCGTAAAAGTGAACACTCAGTCTCATCAAATCTTTTCTTCCCGCTTTTCTCACTCCGAAAAAAAAGGATATTGTGGAAGAGAGCGACGGCGAACACGCACCAGCCATGGCTAGATTGTTGACGTTTTTTGAAATGCGCACATGAAAAATCGGGATACAAATTTGGAGTAAACCGCAGCGATGAACCCACAGACATGGGCTTGTGCAGTCCGTCTTTTGGAGATTTGTCTTTTTACAAAGTAGTAAAGGAATGAGAAGAGAAAGCGTCCTTCTCAGCATAGGATTTTCAGCAGTGCAGTTTTGAAAGCCAGGAGAAACTCCATATTGAGCGGCTTTGCTTTTTTGAATATGTTTCAGGTTTGAAAGATGATGTAGAAAGTAAGGAAGCGGCAGGCTGTGAGCTTATATATGCTCCGTCAAAGGTCTGTGCATTTATCTTTCGTGGTTAGTAGAGAATCGCTCGAATCCGACATCACCTGACCCAAGGTCTGCCTTCGCTGAAAACAGAACATTAAAAGAAATCTAAGGAGGTATCGTAGGTATCTATGCATCAGTAATCGTTCAAAACCAATCCAAGTATGCTCCGCCTCATCGCATAGCCACCACACAACTCGCTTGTGCCAAGCTTTTACATACTCATCACCTCCAACAGCCTAGACGTCTCTCCAATTCCGACTAGTCACTCGCTCTCTCGTATCCAGCCTCGGGCCTCTACCCATCTCACGATACTCTCTCGCAAGCCCACCTCTATCACTTCCCTGATCGATCATCCTCACTGTCCTCCTCTCTTCCACAAATGTAGCAGGTTGTCCATTTTCATCGATACCCTTCCAGCTTCTGATATCATTGATCTCAGCTGAATGTGCGCTCTCCGAATCGGTATCATCATCTTCTTGTCTTCGGCGACTAGGCGGTGGAGTCATAGAACGAGTCCGTTCGAGTGCTCGTGGGCGGGAGACATGGCGAAATAGTGGCCGCGGTGGCCGTTCAGGTGACAGAGGAGAGGGCGGAAGACGGGGTGTGCGACGTGCGGGAAGAGGAGAGATGTTCCGCACGAGTACCTCCTCAAACCGTCTTGAGGGCGGAGGAGAAGGTGAAATACGGCGCTGTCGATCAATGCGAATTTCCTCTTCGTACTCCCTTCTTGGTGATGGCGATGAGTGCCGTATACGGATCCTCTCGAAGTCCTGTGATAGTGGCTCTTGTGGAGGATCGTCTACAACCCGACTGCGGGAATAATCTCGGTAATGCTTGTACTTGTTGCCACTCGTCAGTCGTTCATCGGCATACCTTGATCTTCCTCTTGGCTCCAGTACTGGCTCTTCTTGCCTCCTTCCACCGCCAAAGTGAACACGAGGTCCTCCGACTTCGACGTGCATGCTCTGCTGACTTTCGCGCATAGTATCTCTTCGCCTGTGGGAGGTTTCGTGCTCGGTGTCTAGGGGCTTCAGGATGCTCCGACTAGGTGAATCCAAACGGCGACGTGGCACAGAATCAGCATTGCTCGAAGTTTCATCCGACGCCTTGAGAAAGCTACGCTGCTCTGGTCCAATCGGGTGGTACGGCCTCGGATGCGACATGAGACGAGCTTCCGCTTCCTCGTTTCGCCTTTCAGCCCGGAGGCTAATACGAATTGGAGATCTACTTGTACTCCTAGTCCGACGTTCCTGAGACTCGCTCCGATAGACAACTCTCGAAGATCTTGTCGGCGGCGGGGGCGACGGACTGAGTTCGATGATCCTTGAACTTGCCCGGCGCGATGGACTTCTCTCGACCTTCCTGTAGGAGTGAGTACGGACAACGTCTGGAGGAGGCCACACCTCGTCAGATCTCGAGGCAAGACTGGGAAGTGGCGGAGGTGGCGCAGGGTACACTTCATCCGACCGTGTTTCCCTAGTGCGGACGATGTCAGGCGGGGGCCAAACTTCACCAGCATACCTTGAAGAGCGGCGAGGACTCAATGAAGAAGCTTTGAGTTTTCGTTCCGATCTAAACTCTCGTGTCGGCTGCTGAAGCACTCGCAGGCCCAGGCGCGCCTGACTAGACTCTCGTCTAACAACACGAGGACGACTGGGAGAGTATCGCGTAACATAGATCTCCTCTCTATTTTGTCTCCGGCCCCTCCGCTCGTCATGGTCGATGTCGATGTGGACACACTCTTTAGGCCAGTCGCAGGGTTCCTCGGCCGTACATCTTCGAATGTACCTGTATCTGCTGCTTGAGCGATGTGCGCCTGCAAGCTTCTTTTTGCACCTTCGACAGGGTGTGGGGACCATGGGCTTGTTAGGAAGGACCGGGTTGTTGCGATGAAAACCTGCGGAGCGCATCTCGCCGCAGTGACTGCAGGTGTGACAGAGCATAACTGGCACAGCTACTTCTTCTACCTGCGGAGGTGGTGCTTGCGCGGCATGTGATTGTCCGTATTGTTCGTAATGGTATTGCTCGCTTGTCTGCCTCGATCTTGACTCCATGATCTCTTGCTGCGTGTTGCGTGACGATGGTACCATTGCGCTCGTAAGAGGAGCGGCTCGTCGACGTTCCATCCCAGAACCTGGATTGCTATACTGCCAGTCGGCGTTGTACCCCGGCGGAGGCGGTGGTCGTGCGTCGTAGCCCTGTGGAATATGAGCGTGCCCTTGTGGTCCGGCTACTGGCGGTGCCCGCTGTTGATCCTGTTGTTGTGACTGAGGGCTTAGGAGCGGTGGTGGGCGCTGTGGGATCCCCAGATGATTGTACACGCCCTGGCCGTATCCACCCTGTTGAGGGTATCCAGCTTGTTGAGGGTATCCAGCTTGTTGAGGATAGCCTCCCTGGTATCCGGGAAAAGAAGCGACGGACGAGGCAGCTGGCGGAGGCGTGGGTGCTGCGGGAGGGACTCCGAGCCCTTGGAATTGCTAGACGGTGGGTAAGCCAGGTTCTATATTTGCTGACGCACTGCGCGCGGGCGTCGATGAGATGGGGCCAAACATGATTACGTCTATTCTTGCTGTCAGCCAACTTCTGGTCTCAGGCGACAATGGCGCACTTACACATTGTAAAGATACGAATTGGCTGGCCGGGCGAAGGAGCCGGGGTACTGAGGAATTGGCTGGCCTTGATCTTGGCCTTGCCCGTTACTGCCACTGCCGCCGGTGCGGCCCATATACGACTCAAAGGCCCTTCTCTGTTCTTCGTTCGCCATACTGTGGTTTGAGAAGGTGCGGACGTGCGACTCGAAGGCGGAGGGAAGGCGGAGGAGTGGCCCTGGTCGAGGGTCCCACGTGGGCGACCGGGAAAGCGCGAGGAGGTGTTAAGAGGAAGGAGCGACAGAGAGATGTGGGGTAGACAAATGATGGTTGGAAAAGCATGTGAGAAAGCATGTCGACGAACGTGGAGTCAAAGTGAAAGAGCAGACGCACAAGCAGGATTGCGCGACTGCGAAACCGCATCTCCAATCGTGATAGTCAATCTCACCGCAACTCACCTCCAGGATACCGACGATGGGACTTAAATATTCTTTTATTTCTTCCCAGACGCCCGCCTGCGAACAATGCCAACATGGCTTCTTATTTGTACAAATGCTATAGATCTCTAGCAAGATTTTGGTACGCCCACCACATCTACTCAACTCTCAATACCCTAGGTCCCTTCCTCTTGGTGGACCGCTTCTTCTTGTGGCCCTTGTCGAACGATACGGCGCTTTGATGGTCGCGACCAAAGTTGTCAAGATCCTTGACCTTGTAGATCCTGATGATCCAGTTCTCGCTGGTAAAGGCCTCCTCGATGGTGCTGAGCTCGGGGCCCTGTGCGGGAAGACGCGCGCCACGGACACGGTCCTGGGCTTGTCCAGCGGGGAACAGCGCGTTGTAGTTGTAGTAAGACATCTTGTACCTGATATACTGTTAGTAGCTGCAGTAGCTGGTGTGGACTACATCACTTACATCAAGCTGTTCTTCATGGTGGGGGTAGCCTCCTCGTCTACACGGTACTCGCCTCGTGGAGTGAAGAAGTTGCGCTCCTTGACCTCATCGGGCCAGATACCCTCGGCAATCCTGACCATCCAGAGGAACTTGTTGATGTCGTCTCCAGAGTAACCAAGTAGACCACCAAAGACGACCAATACGTAGTCGACCTCGTGTTGACGCATGATGGGGTAGCTGACCTCCTCCCTGGAGCTCATAGCCTTACCGACGGTAGCGATGTGCGTGTTGTTCCAGGTGTTGTTGTCGACAAGGGTTGGGCGGTCGGCCATACCACCAATCTGGTATCCGTAGTCCCACCACGACATGATCTTGGCGTTCTGAGGGGTGTTCTGCCTGAGCCAGTAGTATGCCTCACGGTAGTCATCGATGATGTGTTGGCTACCGTCAGGAAGTCTGGATGCGAGCACGACGGAGGGCGAAGAGTAGGCGTTCGAAGTGACCCATGTGCAGTGCAGAACGAACAGCATGAGGTAGATGGCGGCGGTTCCGGCGACGGTAAGCTTGGAGGCATACGAGTAGATGCCGACGAGCGGGTTGCGTGTAGATCGGAGACCCTCGGGAAGGATAGCTGCAGCAGCGACTGCAGCGGTATCGGTGCTGCCGTTCTCGGTGACGGGCTTGGGGGTCTTGACGTCGAGGTAGGTGTCGAGAATCTGCGAGAAAGCGATTGCCGATGCAACGCAGACAATGGGAGTCAAAGTGAGCATGAGACGGACCATGACACCAGCGAAGTAACTGGCGAGCACAGCGTAGATAACAATGAAGACCTGCTCGTCGGTCAAAGTGCGGAAGCACAAGTAGACACCGGCGGGGAAGAGCCAGATCATCATGTTGAGATCGAAGAAGAAAGCGGGCCATGCGGTAGGCTGGTGCTCGGAGACGGAGGCGATGATAGGAATGTGAATCTTGGCGTATCCGGTGTCCCAGAGCGAGTAGAAACGGCCAGTCCAGGGCGCAATGACGCCAGAGACGGTAAGAAGCACCAGTCCTCCGACACCGATGAGGAAGACACTTAGAACCAGAGCGCGGAGCAGCGTCTGGAACTGCTTGCCGGGAAGCTGTGCGCGAACCCAGTCGACAAAGGCCACCAGCTGGAGGAGACCAAAGACACCGAGCGCGGACATGTGCTCGCTACTGCGGATGGGCAAGAAACCGACGAAGGGAATCTGCATACTCGCAAGCGTACCGAGCGCATACCACGACGTGTAGCTGACGTACAATCTCGGACTGTATCGTCCCATGCAGATCAAGACGAAAGCGTGCAGGGGCAGCAAGTTGGTGATGAAGACGTATCCACCCCACGCTGACACCATGTATCCGTAGAACAGCGCAGTCAATGCACCCCAGAACATGGATCCGAGCTTGACTGCCTTGATCCACAGGAAGAAGGTGAAGACGAGCAGGAAGATGGCAATGGCCTCGTTATCGTAACTTCCTGCGACGGATCGCGAGATGTAACCGGGGGTGATGCCCATGAAGGCTGCGGCGAGCAGACCGGCCGAGGGCGACGGGACCATCTCGGAGGTCAGGAGGTACGTCGCGAGCGCGGTAAGACCTGAGAAGGCAGGCGCGAGGAGGACACAGATGTTTCGAATGTCGACGGGCATGGCGAGAGCGCGGAGGGCGTGGTAGATGACACCGCTGGTGACCATCAGCCCGGGGTAGAGAGTACCACCCGTGACTCGTCCAAGAGGGTGCCATGTTCCTGCATTCCATGTCAGTCCATTGTAGCTACATGGCATCGGGGCATGCGGCGGAGATGCGTACGGTCGTCGAACCAGTCCCAGAAGCTGTAGAAGCCATTCTGTACAAGGTATTTCGTCGCTCGGAAGTTGAACCACGGATCGACTGCATTGTATAATCAGTCAATTGCCCCATATCTCCTCAATTGTAGTACTGACACTCGTGGATGATGCTCTCAAAGCGAATTACGGAGAACAGACGACTGCTTACGGCGGCGGCAGCGATGAGGCACAGGATAATCACCCGGAGCAAGCCTCGAGTATTGCGGCCGGTCGCCTGCTTGAGCAGCTGCCCGTCATCTACGGCGGCAGCCATGTTTGCAGGAGAAGTTAAGGAAGGTGAGGTTGTTGGTCGCAAGGCCGCGTCACGGAACTTCTCGAGAGCTATGCTTCATGAGCACACGTTTCCAACTCCACGCCTCGGCATTTGGTTTCGCCGACCTTCAACACCCCTGCAACGTCATCACCATCACCATGTCCGCGACAGCCACGGAGCGCCGTTCAACACACAACATTCTTTCACTTTATATCGATTCACATATGCGAAAATTGTCTACTGGGTATCTGGATCTGGGCTCTGAGATATCACTAGTCTGCGCAAAAGAAATCCATCATGAAAGCCTCCGTCTCTTCAACATTGCAACTGGCGCAGACGCGATGGTTGCAGTTGGCGCAAGCAACATCTACAACACCGCAAGGGTTCTGACATACGCACTGTATTTATTAGCACTGTTGCAAATAGCTGAGACGGGTAACTTACACAATAGCGATTTGTTACCATGGTCTTTTGTCTTCGCTTTGCGTGTCGTTCGCCATATGCCGAATCTTCTGAACGCTGTCGTTTTACTGCAGTTCCTAGCGCGATATCACCTGCAAGTAGCGAGGGTCGCATCGATTCATGGCTTGACATCGGCATACTGGGCATGTTGTTTGGAGGGGGAGGATGCGGCTGTCGCGGCTGTGGAACATCGTCATCCACGTCGCCGGTAGCATCCACATCGCCATCCTTTTCCCTCTCGTCCTCATCGTCAAAGTAGTCTCGTTTCTTCTTCTCTTCTAGCAGCTCTTTCTTCGGTCGGTTCTCTTCAGCACAGATCCAGTCATCGATATTCCTCCTCTCCTTCTCGAAGTGACGGGCGATGTGATCGAACCGCTCGTCCCAAGCTGCGTTGCGTCGCTCTTTGAGCCGCACTATATCTTTGCACAGGCCACACCAGAAAGTACCTTGGCAGTTCTTGCCAATCCTGCGGAGGTTGACACGCTCTTGAGTAACTTCACACGCCATCTTATGCTCCCTCTCCAGGTGGTTCTTGAACGCTCCTTCGCGGTATAGATGCACACCACAGACCTGACCTGTCTGAAGTACTTGGCCGCAGCGAAAGGCTTCCTGCTGGAAATGCTGACTGTTCTCGTGGCGCTTCCAATCTGACTTTGCGCCAAAGCGTTTGTGGCACTTAGGATATGTGCATCCATAAGGCCTGTTATGTCGCTTGATGTGCTTACGCAGATCGCAATCACGAGCGACGGCAAATTCGCAGCCAGACATCGGACATAGCTTGTCATTGTTTGAAGAGCTCTTGCTGGAGCGACGCTGTTCTGTGTCGGGGGATCCTGGGCCTTTATTGACAAGCTCAGCAATCATCTTTAACAATGCATGATTCTTATCAGACTTCGACGGCCTCCTGGACATATCGTCGCGGTTGGCTTTTTGTAGCAACTCTAGTATGCGACTCTCAATATCCACAGGCTCCGGCGAATGCAAGCGCTGTTCAGACTTCCTCTTGAGCTCTAGTGCTTGCTGCTCAGCCTTAGTCTGGGGTGCATTGGATAAAGAAGAACCCTGTGAGGACTTTTGAATCTTGAGATGGTTACTTCCAGACGCGCCAGGAGCGACCTTGATAGTGGAGAGAGAATCCTGTATTCCCGGTGCATTGTGCCGAGAACGAGTCACCTTCGACACTTTCTGAACGCGACCGTTGTGTGGTGCGGAAGTAGGCCCGGGTCCAGAGAGCTGAGATAGTGACTGTGCTTTTGGCACAAATACGGAGTCCTGGCTCGGCGAAGTTAGATATCTGGCATCCTGCATCATGGGAAAGTCCATCATAGACATGTTGCCCATCGTTGGGCTTATGGAGAAAGGAATCTCCATGCCAGCGACTGTTGACCCAATGTCCAGGGGTGTAACGGTTGCTTTACTCTCTATAGGAGAGTCGACTCGCCTGGGTCGCCATACCGATCTATCAATGTCAGCTTAGCTGACTCTTCAAGCATGAACTGTGCAAATCTACCTTTCTACGAGATCGAGTACGTTCTCATCTTTGTGCATCCTCTCAACATGCTGCTTGAAGTTGTCTAGGCGTGGCCAGATCTTCTCTTTGTTCCTACAATCCTCCACAGCACACTGATAGGACTTCTTGTCAATATCCTTCCGATGTAGGCTTTTCTGATGCCGCTCAAGATCGTTCGTAGTTGTGAACCCCTCTACCCTTTTGCAGCCGGGTACGTCACACTTGAAGGGTTTGCTGTGCTTGAGCATGTGCTTCCTGTCACCTTCATCAGCACATGGTCATCTCATAGTGATGCCGCATACGCACTTGAACTCTGAGTTGCACTTGAGTACTTCTGAGCACTCATAGCATGGAAAGTCTTTCTTTGACCTCGACCTCCCACTACGACTGCTGACATGGGATCGTTGATCTGAAGGCATCCGTGACATCGTAGGAGCCTCGCTTGTGGCAGACTCGACATGCATGTTGCTAATATCTGACATGAAACTTGCCGATAGTTCCTGATGGAGATGATCGGGATCATTGCTTATGACCGACTTGGTGTTCCGCGAAACGTAACCCTCGTCAGATGGCAAAGCCTGACTATCAACGTCAGATCCTGGACTCCATGGGAACTGGAAATTCACATTCGATCGAGGGGAAAGATCATGAGAGCTACCAGACTGAGATAGCCTCATATTGTACGGACTCCATGCTGGCTCCGGTCCTCTGCCTGCAGTCGGACCATGATAAGGCCGTGCATATCGTGGATCGAGAAGGTCAAAATCCCTCGGTATATGGGATCCAATACCATTATCAAACAGAGAGAGATTGGTTTGAAGATGATTCATACGATCGAAGCCTCTCGTATGTGATGCAGTTCTTGGAGCATGTAAGGAGGCTGATGAGCTAGATCTTTGGCTCCGTACACTATGTGCACTTCGTGGTTGTTGGGAAAACGTGCTCTGCGGCGTCTGCACAGGATCAATATGCAGTGCAGGTATCTGGCGGCCATAGTATTGGTTGGGAACTGAAATGTTATAAGACTGTTGACAGTCCCCGTTCTGGTTGTGGAGTGACATGTTCGCTATCACGGGTCAGCATCTTTCGGGGCTGCCTCAGGCATCAACATGCCACCCAATTCATCCCAACCAGCTCTCGAACATGGAAAGAGGCATCATCGTCATACAAGCATCATTGTATAAGTACAGACAAGAAGAGAAATAAGAGTATAGAAAAAGGCAACAACAAAACATACCTGTAATCTCAACTCGTCAGCCTACCGCGATATGGAAGCCTTACGCCTGCCTCAAGGAACGCCGTACGCAAACCGTTTCAGAAGAACAGGCGCGCAGCTGTGCATTAGTAGATTCCAGCTGCAGCACACCGCCCCAATCTGCTAAGATGACAAGCCAGATGGGTACATGTAACAGGTAATGTGTGTGAGGTCCTCCGTTTCGTGTTCCATGCGCACGGGCATGCGCTGCCTGCCGGTGAGATATGAGGAAAGGCTTCAATACCAAGACGCTGTCACCTTATCGCGTGCACTTGCCCTGCACTGGCTGTATCGGAGGACTTCGATTCGAGATGGGTAAAAAGGGGACTGTAGTATGTCGTCACGGTTTCTTCCCACACGCAGTGGTTATCGCAGTTGTATGCCTGTGATCGCGATGGCGAGGGTGCGCCGCATGTGGGCGGCCTCCCAGTCCTCCTCGCGCAGGGGCGCTACCAGGAAGGCGACCGGTGCCCTCTTTGCCCTCTTTCTCTTTCTGACAGCTCATTCGTGCTGGGGATGCACCTAGCGAGCCGTTCACCGAATTGCAGATGGAGGACTCCAAGTTGCGGGTGGCTGTGTCGAGAGTCCTTCATGTGCGTGGGAGACGCATGCAGCCAATCACAGCTTCCGACCGGGTTCCTCCCCGGCGGCGCGATCGATTTAGCACGCCGCGCTGATGTGTGTATGACAGGGCGCGGGGGCTGGAAGTTTGAAAATAAGTCAGGCTTTGCACTTGCGCAAAGGAGTTTTACTGGCGCTGGCGATGGATGTCGTGCAATCACGCCCTTGTGGAGTGGAAGGTACCTAGGGGCTTTAAGTGGGTCGCAGCTTCCAGTCTACGATGTATCTCACAAATGGTACTATATCGCATGGAGCGGACAAGAAAGTATGGAAAATTGTGGCATTGAGAAATTGATGCAATTAACGCGTCGATGTCTATAATACCATGCATGCCTATTGCACCATCAGATGCGACAATGTAGTCGATCCAATTCGAATCCGAAGCGACAGTAGGTATCGTAACGCGTCTAAACCAAATTCGCCTCGTAAACATGAAAACCTCTTCCGCTGTGCAAGAGTGGATATCGTATGAAATCAACGTGAGCCAAAACAGAATCAGATCCTACGCCTATCCTATGGGCGTGTCGATCGAAACCCCTCCCATAATCCATCCCCGTCTATTGCTGATGTTGGTATTGATAGTTGTGTTGTGCCGTCAGATATGACATCGCAGGGTAAGTGCTGCCTTGCTGGTAAGACATAGCGTTGTTGGTATCGTAACCCATATTCGGCATCTCAGTCGTCAAGCCCTGCGGCTCTTGGGTGTAGTAGGAAGGAAAAGGTGTAGTCGTAGCGTCGACTGGAGAGTCCGTGTACAGCGATTGCTGTTGTTGAACGGTATTAACAGGATTCATGCCATACTGTTGCACCCCATTCTGCATATTCCCATTCTGGTATGGCTGATTAGGAATTTGCAGCCCGTTCGTATAGCCATTGTGTGGCTTCCGAGGGACCTGGAGGCCTGGGTAGGTCTGATTCGTGAAATTTGTGGCATTGTTTGCCACATAGTTCGCATAGCCGCTAGTCTGAGTCGGTGGCGGTGCCATTTGCGGTGGGGGGTAGGTTTGCATCGGCGTAGATCCTGCCTGGGATTTCGTTTCCTGAGGATAAAGACTATGAGGGTCGATACCAGGTGCATATGCGGCATTAGGATTGTACCGCGACGGGTTGTCTAGTGGCGAGCGGCCCGGAGTAATCGAGAGCTTGCGGCTT